AAATATTTTTGCTACCAAGAACAATACCAAGTGCCAACTATATTGTTCCTGCACTGGTATCGGCAAAGGCTCTCTCGGAGACGCCTTCATGATAAGATGGGACAGCGGACTCCTCCACCTATTCCCTTCAATCCCACTGATACAACACACCATCATTCGACTTCAACAGTTTCAGTCGGATGTGATCCTTCTCACCCCATGGTGGCCACGACAACTGTGGTTCGTCCACTTGAGGTTGATGTTGAGCGACCTCCTCCATCTTCCATCCATCCCCAACCTCCTCACGCAGGACAACAGGCTTGTTTACCATCCTGATCTCGAATCTCTGAAACTGATGGTGTGGAGGATTCTCCCACAATAAGGGATATACTTGACAGGGCTCGAAAATCATGAACAAAGTTCCTTTACCAACATAAATGGAGAGCATTCCTCTCCTTTGTAAATTCTAAAAACTTACCTGTGGTACCAGTTTCACTAAAGACTCTACTTACCTTTATACTCCATCTTTTTCATCTTGGATTGGCCCATTCTACTTTGAAAGTCTATATTGTTCCAGTGGTCGCGCAACAACCATCTCATTCCAAAGCAGCTGAACTTTGAAAAAATTGCTTAAGGGACTTTGCAATATCCGTCCTCCATGTCAACCTCCTCTTTCCCAATGGTTGTTACAGCTTGTCCTTAACACATTGACCTGACCTCCCTTTGAACCAATGGTTACTACTAACCTCAAACTGCTTTCCTTGAAAACATCATTCTTAGTAGCCATAACGTCGGCTAAATGTGCTAGCGAACTAGCAGCTCTTAGATCAGATCCACCTTTTCTGCAGTTCCATCCGGACAAGGTCACTCTATACCCAGATGTTTCATTCTTACCTAAGGTCGTATCTGATTTTCATCTTAATCAACTTATGATACTGTCTACCCTATGTTCATCTCCCTCTATACCTCTCGAGCACATGCTCCACATGCTTGATGTTAGACGTTCCTTGGCCTTTTACATTGACACAACCAAATTGTTTAGGAAAGCAGGACTCTTCCTATGTTTTCATGGCCTAATAGAGGTTCATCGGCTTCACCTCAAACGTTGGCTAGGTGGATTGTTCAGACAATTTCACTGGCATATGAACTGGCAGGCAAAACACCACCTGAACCCTTGAAGGCTCACTTGACTAGAGCATTGTCTACCTCCACTGCCTTCCAATGAGGAATAGAAATCCCTCACATCTGCCGTGCAGCTACATGGTCCAATCCATCAACATTTGTCACACATTACTGTTTGGATGTCCGGGCAAAGAAAGATGCTGCTTTCGGCAGAGCTGTCTCAACTTCTTACTTTCTATTGTGACGTCCCACCATACGGTAAGTGAACTTGCCAGTCACCCAACTGTGTGCATTCACATAGGCCACAAAGAAGATAGGTTACTTGCCTGTAACCATGGTTCTTCTAGTGGTCCTCTGTGAATTCACACATCCTGCCCTGCCTCCCCTCTGTCCATCATATTGTCTTCTTATATAGCTCTTTGACAGTGGCAGGCTCTTT